CCTGCCTAGGCAGGGGGTTGGACTAGAAGACCTCCAAGGTCCCTTCCAACTCTGTTATTCTATTCTATACTTCTCTGTGCATTCCTTAAAAAAAAGAAAACAACTAAGTCTCACCACATCCTTGGTGTAAATAAGTTCAGAATATTGGTGAACAGGTTTCAGGAGAATATTGGTTTAAATAATTGTGAGGTAAAATAAAACATTCCCGCACTTGTCTGGGTCCCCATTACTGTTGGTCTTGAAAAAAAAATGAAGAAGAAACTGGCTCAAACTGCCTCAAAAAATGTCTTCCCTGCCCCGATATTAACAATATTGCAAGATAATGGAAAGTTGGTTTTTTGCCATACAGATGCCACCATTGAGATATATGTGGGTTTTAATAAAACACGACACTTCAATTGAGATTTGCAAACATCTTGATAGGAGTTATGCGGAGAAGGTCAGGTGGAACCCGGGTAAAAACAATTGGTTATTTCTGCATCGTTTTGTGCTTTTTAACATCCTTCAGAGGGGGAAAAGGTGAAGATGTGATGCTGAGCTGAGGGGAGTAAGGACAGAATTTTGAACTTGGGAGTTTGGGCATGTAGAGTCCTGTGTGTAGACATCGTTGCTGTGATTCATATAACAGAAATGTAACAGAATAACAGAGTTGGAAGGGACCTTGGAGGTCTTCTAGTCCACCCCCCCCCCTGCGCAAGCAGGAGATCTATGCCATTCTGGACAAATGGCTATCCAATCCCTCGGTAAAAACCTCCAGTGATGGAGCACCACAAATCCTAGAGGGAAGCCTTTTGAAAATAGATCTTGAAATAGCAATAGCACTTAGACTTATATACTGTTTTACAGTGCTTTACAGCCCTTTCTAAGCGGTTTACAGAGTCAGCCTCTTGCCCCCAACAATCTGGGTCCTCATTTTACCCACCTCGGAAGGACAGAAGGCTGAGTCAACTTTGAGCCAGTCAGAATCAAACTCCTGGCAGTGGGCAGAGCTAGCCTGCAAAATGGCATTCATACCACTGCACCAACAAGGAAGGAAGGAAAGAAGGAAGGAAGGAAGGAAGGAAGGAAGGAAGGAAGGAAGGAAGGACTAGCAATAGCACTGAGATTTATATACCATTCCACAGTGCTTTCCAGCCCTCTCTAAGTGGTTTACAGAGTCAGCCTCTTGCCCCCAACAATCTGGGTCCTCATTTTACCCACCTCAGAAGGACGGAAGGCTGAGTCAACCTTGAGCCAGTAAAAATCAAACTCCTGGCAGTGGGCAGAGCTAGCCTGCAAAATGGCATTCATACCACTGCGCCAACAAGGAAGGAAGGGAGGGTGGGAGGGAGGGAGGGAGGAAGGAAGGAAGGAAGGANCGGCAAGCCACTCCCATCCGGTCACATGGTCGGCAAGCCACTCCCACAAAGGTGGCCACACCCACAGAGTAGGTTCGAACAATTTTTGAAACCCACCACTGCTCTAATCCTTCTCTTTGGTAGGCTACACTTACCCTCAACCATTTATCATACAATTTGGCCTCCAAATCCTTTATCATTTTTGTTGCTCTTCTCTTGCACACTTTCTACGGTCTTGACATCTTTTATTTTATTCATTAATCAAATATATAGCCTGACCATCTCACACACAGAGTGACTGCTGGGCTGTGATGGGGCCAATAGTCATTATTTAAATGTATAAAAATAATGTATGGAACACCAGGAAGCATATAATATCGGCCGTAGTACAGTAAAAATAAAAGTACTATGAACACAAATACTAGTACAAGAGCAGTTCTAATGTCTTAAATAAACAAAGATATTAGTTTTTGATTTCTTCTGTGTGGTGTGCTAATCTCACCAAGCTACCACCAATTATCTGAGTTAAACAGAATTGATTTTACCCATCCTCTAGCTTTAAAGATTGGCTATTTTTTCTTCTTCCTTGTCTTCTCATCTCATGTATCATGTTGGTGAGATCCTTGAGATATAGAAATAGTCTTTTGGGCTCCATACCATTTCTCTTAAACATTACAAGGAGAGAAGAAACATGGAGGAGGCATGTCACCCCAGCTCCCCAGGACATAAAAAACGGTTTTGATTTAGTGGGCCTACCTTTTAAATGGTGCCATTGTGTAGAGTAACTTGCTGTAATTATCTAGCACAGAGCCATGTGTGTGCAAAAGAATTACATTGTAGACAACCAGAGCCACCAACATGATTGCCATTTTCAGTTCATGATTTATACGGAGGAAAACAGAACAAGAAATGAGGCCCAGGATGCAGCTGTAGATAAAGTACTAGAAAAGAAAAATCGAACCAAATAAATATTTGAAAATTAAATATCAAGACCCAGTTCTTAAGGGTTATAAAACAGTGCCTAGATTGTATTATTTCAGATAATAAATGGGAAAAGGGGTGAACACTTTTTATTAAAATACTCTTATCTGCATATAAAATTAGAGGACTAGATGAAAGATTCCACTACCATTTTTTCCCTGACTTGCTAATTTCTATTTGAAAGATTTTTGACTCATCAAATTAAAGAGACTGGATGTTGCATTTTATACTAACATGGGGAGGGCTTATATTTTTGCCCACCAGAAAAATGTGGCATGGCCTTATTATCAGGACATGTCATATTTTTGGGAAAACACAGTAGTATATTAAATAAATAAAAGTAATTAAAAATAATTTGCATGGAATAGCCTTTCTACAGAGTGTTTAATCATTTTATAGGCACTATTTTTTATCTGCTAAAGATAATGCAAATAAGATGCAAACTTACTGGTAAGAAAAAATGGTTGCTTTGAATATACCAGAGTGTCTGATCTCTTGCATCGGAAGAACTTATATTTGATGAATTAAGAATGGGGAGAGATTCAACCATACCACCATCACTCAAGAAAAACTAAAAAGAAAAGAAATTTCATAGGGTTTCAGTTAAATATACAGAATCTAAAGAACAATAACAATATGTGGGTATATGAAACAAAATAGGAGTTTTGATTATAAGTTAAATATGACATTGCTCTCTTTTTAAAAAGACAAATGTTTCATCATAAAGGGAAAAAAGCTTCTATAAAGTTGTATAATTTTTTTCAACCTATCAGAAGGTTTCTGCTTGACACATTGTTCTGATAAAAATACAAATTGTCTTAACACATTGAAAGCAATAAAAAAACAGAATTTAACCCATGCAGGTTACACATTTCTTTTCTCTCATCACTGAAAGTAACATGCCCAAACCGAATAAACAAATCAATACAATTAAGCAGAAGAAAATCTTATTAAACCTACCATGTTGAACACAGCCATAGTTAATATTACAGCTGTTGTTATCAACGTAATCATGATTCGTGGCCAAGGGCGGTTTTCAATGACTCCAGCTGACTTCAGAATCCACCTCAGGAAAGCTGAGAGTTTCTTGTTACACTGCTGAATACAGAATACATGAAAATGCACATATCTATTTCTGATTAGTCTCCAAAGGGGGGAAAAAAAGTGTTCCAAAAATATCCAACAGTAAGGCAACAGCAAGCAGAAAATACAAAACAAAAGGATAGAAATAAGAGGTTATCAAGTATCATGTTGATGAATTGCTATTTATTTTGAATAACAATGCTCTGAATAGCAAACAATTTAGCAGACAAAAAAAAGGACTTCATAGTCTCGTAGCATAGACAATTGCTCAGGTTTTAACTTCATTTCTGGTCTATAAGGAAATCTCAGAATGCCTAACAAGACAATTAAAAAGAAGAAGATAAAGATGGCCTCAAATCAAATTCAATTCCTGGTTATTGGTATTACATAAGTCTTTTGACTTTGCCCTTTCCTGGGATATTTTTCAACTTCTCAGCTTTTGAGCTCAACCAAGATTGACTAGATACGATTAGATTTTCTTGAATCTAAAAAAATTATTTGACATAGCCCTTAGCAGAAAATGCAGAAAGATCAAGTCACTTATTAAAAAGTTATAAACAAATGAAAGGAAGCAATCTTGAGAGGCTGGCAGGCAGCAGGTTACGAACACATACAAAATAGGCAAATCTATTCACTACTAATTCAAATATTTGGCCTAATAGTTAAAAAAACATTCACCACTGAAGCTATATTGCCATATTGAGTAATAAAGAAAGAGCATTGTCTGTTTATTTTGATCTCCAAATTTAGAAACACACAAAGATATGCAAATTTACAAATGTTATTGTTCATCATCTGAGCTATAAGCTATCCGAGCCATGCATACATACATTTTACACATTCATGCATATTTACCAAGTAGTTATGCTAGGTTTTATTTCTAGAATATTCAATATGTTACCAATAAAGTTATAGCACTGCTTTTCAGTCTTTGGTACCCTTATGTTGTATTACATTATAAATTTCATTTTAGTACTCTAATTAATACTGGTTTTTCTGAATTATTTCAGCAATAACCTGGTCTTTGACCGTAATAAAGATTTACTTACTTACTTTCAGCAATAACAGTGATTACAAAATTCCTTTGGTATAAAAGTCCTGTCCCAACTCTTCTGTTAGTTTATTTGATTCAAAAGCCGCATAAAACAATATTTTTAAACTATAAAATTATGAATCTTCCCATACATATTACAGGCAAATTAACTGAAATGTTAAATGTATAAATTAGGAGTCTAAAACCCCTATATAAATAAACATGCAAACAATCACATTATGTTTAATATTAAGTATTAATGAAAATATATACTGTGATGCATAATAGCAAAATAAATGTAATAAAATATGGTAAAATATTATTCAATGTTATGTAAACAAAGAATAAATGAAAATAGTTCAATCTTCTATATATCTATAATGTAGTTCTATATTATAACTACCGGTAATTGAAAAACAAATGAACATTAAATGTTTGAGGAGAAAGAGTGAAAAAAGTCCTGGAAACTGACTTCATATACAAAATAATTCCTGTTAAAAGTGTTTAGGTTTTTTTAAAAATCTTCGTTGGAATCTCCCACCAATTTAAATGAAGAATGATCCTCTAAATTGTCCTAAAGTAAAATATGATGGATCCTGCCTACTTCAAAACAAAATTAATCCACTATTTTAAAAGAAAATTACATTACTCTTAATGTAAGATATTCATGTGTAAAGTTATATCTGAAACTCAAAGATTTCCATATAGTTCTCACAGCATTAAGTGAAGTATTGAAATTTATTTGCAGATAAACAGGATAACTCTGCAGACAAAGTTTTGTAATATCCAATTCATTTGTTTGAAATGACATGTAAGATTTTTTAAAAATAGTACAGTATTTACAGTAAAATAAAAAATAGATCACAGTATTGGGATGTATTAACAAAATGAGAAGTGATCAACATGACACCTATACAATAACTTCATAATGTCTCACACCAGCACAAAATATTTGGGATAATGTCATCATGTACATATCTTGAATATTCATTTTGTTATATTAAGGCTTGAAGGGAGTCACTCATCAGGTATTTTAAATCTTGCCCCTGTGAAATGCCTATATTTAATGTCCTTTTCAAGTTTTTTTGTGGCTATTCCTACCAATACTCCAGAATTCAACATTATGGATGATGATAATGATGAATTATGATGCATTCCTGAGGAAGTTATCATAATTGCTATAGCCACAAATCAAAAAAGTGTTGGCCTTACCAAGGTATTATAAACTGGTATAAACTTCGTGTGATCTTGATTCTATCCCTCTGTTAATGTAGCCTAGGACTGTGTTGGCCTTTTTGGCAGCTGCTGCACACTGCTGGCTCATATTTAAATGGTTGTCCACTAGGACTCTCCCAGATCATTCTCACAGTTACTAATATTGAGCCAGGTACCACCTATACTGTACCTGTTCATTTGTTTTTTCTTGCTTAAATGTGGAACCTTACTTTTTTCACAACTGAATTTCCTTTTTTAGATATCATCCAATATTATATGTTGCTGTTTCTCACTATTGGCCACAGAAAATTCACACCATGTTGCTAGTGGTCTTTTTACAGGTTCATCGACAAAAGGGCGAACGACAAAACCGCGCCCGACTAAGCCGCGTTGCTGACGTCATCAACAGGGCGACAACTCCACGGAGAAAGAAGCACACTGTAAACCTTAAACCTAAACTTAATCCCTAACCCTAAACCTAATCCTAAACCTAAACTTAATCCTAAACCTAACCCTAAACCTAACCCTTAACCTAATCCTAAACCTAACCCTAAACCTAACCCTTAACCTTAACCCTTAACCCTAAACCTAACCCTAAACCTAACCCTTAACCTAACCCTAACCGTTAACCTAACCCTAAAAATAAACCTAAAGCTAACCCTAAACCTAACCCTAAACCTAACCCTTACCTTAAGTTAAATCGGCTTTCTTTTGACGCGGTATTTAAAGCGCCCTTCTTTTTCCGCACTGGCTGTTGTTGCCGCGTTGATGACATCAGCGACTGCATGAGCCAAGGTGGCGCAGTGGTTAAATGCAGCACTGCAGGCTGACTGCTAGATCAGCAGTTCAGCGGTTCAAATCTCACCGGCTCAGGGTTGACTCAGCCTTCCATCCTTCCGAGGTGGGTAAAATGAGGACCCGGATTGTTGTTGGGGGCAATATGCTGACTCTGTAAACCGCTTAGAGAGGGCTGAAAGCCCTATGAAGCGGTATATAAGTCTACTGTTATTATTATTATTGCTGTTATTATCAGCGACGTGGTTTAGTCGGGCGCGGTTTTGTCGTTCGCCCTTTTGTTGGGTCACGTTTTTTGCAGACACTATTGAGTTCTAGGTGCTCTCTCAGAGTTCAGTTTTTTTTTTAACCTAACTAGCTAATTCCAAATTATTTGTTTTTCTGAAACATTGTTTGGAATTATTATTGGACACAATAACAAAACTTGTAGAAGTTTTATTTCGCCAGTGCAACTATAGGAAGAACTGAAAATAGTAAGACATTTTTCTTCTGCAAGATTTTTTGAACAGATCTTTGGCTTCTGTCCAGAAATTGAATAAGGTTTGCTACATATGTAATATAGCGTTGAAACTTTCTCCCACACAATGTCAAACACATTTTTGTTTTCTAAGAATAACATACCATGAAACTTTGTCCTTTGAAATTCAATGACACCAGATCTGGCTTTTTGAATATTCTATCCCTCCCAGCAAATACAATAAACTTAACAATAAATACCCAATGCTTATCAGAGGAACAAAATGAAGAGGCTGAACCATGATGAGCTCTATTAATTTCAAGCTGATAAAATTCTTCTTGCAGAAATAATACTCGAGATATTAGGGCTTCCACAAAAACGACAGCTTTATCTTTCTCCTCTTGCTCTCGAAATCCCATTACATGTAAATCCGACTGATGACACTGAAATTCTACAATTTTGTTCTAAATGGTTTTATTATACATCATTAAATCAGTTATGGATGTCTCAACAGACTTCCATGCTCTTCCAGCTGACATATTCTATTCTGGTACTTAACTCTATTCTGAATTAACTATAGCTTTAATGTCTTTTCAATACACCCAAAACTCTTTATGAAAACAGACATACTCCTCAATTGCTAAAGCTGTTGCCTTGGAGAGAAAATAGGGCAGAACTTTTTTGAGTTCCAACCCAGTGGTTTACAAACAACCCCACTTTGACAGCAAAACAGAAGATAATCACTGTTTTGTATTCCAGTAGTACTAATTAAACAGTTATCAAGATAAAACTCCAGAGAAAAAGCTGAGATCCCTCTGACTATAGCATACACTTAATTGGAAGTCCCTCCTTTTAAAATGAAGATGAAAGTGGATCTTGATCTCCATTCCCAACTCCCTAACATACTGCAGAGGACTTTCCTGGGAACACTGATAGTAGAAAGCTCTCCTAGGGCTGGCACTTGACTGGGCCACTGTCATACTTAGCCAAGTACACCGTAACAGAGTCCAGCCAGTTCTTTATTGCTTACACTATACAGACAGAATCTTGCCAGACTAAACTTATATTAGCTTTAACCTAACGGATATGTTATGCAAAGTTCTATGGAATGGTTAACCTAAATGTCTTCTACTTCACATGACCCAGCTTGGGACTCTGCTGTCTCTTGTATCACCTCCCTTCTTAGAATATGCTTTTTGCGTTCTGAGGTAAATGACTGAGGTTAACAGCAACTAGAACGGTTTATTCGAACAGAACTTAAGACAAGCAACAGGCAACAAAAACCCCGTCTGACAGCTATTTATACAGGGAGCTATCAGACGGGGAACCAATGGGAGTGCAGGGTTTCTCCCACCGAGAGGCAGGCACGTCCTGGCCAATCAGAGGAGCCTTGCACAGCGCCATCTGCTGGCCAGGACACAACAATGCTCCCTTCTTCCTGGGAATCTAATAACTGCAGTCCATCACATTACCTCCCCACTTTGTAGAAACAGTCCATCACATCCCATAAGCAAC